TTTCTTCTCCCAAAAGCTTACAAGTAAAAACTCTCTGGTTCAGAAAATTGTAAAAAGAAAGCGTGTAAAATCTGTAGAAAAACGTGATAATAAAAGGTAGGCGGCTCTGGATTTTTTATTCTCTTTCTACTCCTAAAATTATGTAAAAGTCGATTTCCTTATTTCTCTCCAGGCGGTTGGAGCAGGTGCTCCACGAAAGGGTGAAATCGGGAGCAGGTGCTCCCGACCAAGAATGATCCAACTTCGTGTAAATTGGCCTCTTTTGCTCAGCTTCAGCTCCTTTTGCACCAAAAACCCCAGCTGCTCCAAACCGTCGCCATAAGCCTCCTAGTTACCTGAAACGACTTGACAAAGACTCAAAAGACTCTAAAAAGATCAGTAAACACAAGTTATAATGAGTCAAAATCTCCACTTATCAACTCCCCCGGACTTAGATCTTTGTTTGTCCTCAAACAAACTCAAACTCAATTCCAAAAGAATGACGGGATAAAGGTGGGAACTCGCAAAACTCAAAAGAACGTAAACCTGACCAAGCCATGTGACAATCTGCTGCAAAATCAATCAAAAATCTAACCTCCATGTACTTCTCCGTAGACGCTGCAGCTTTACAGATTAGTCCCTCAATTTCATAACATCTTCCATGTCCCATCATTGCTGAGTCTCATCGATAAAACTAGTGCCAAGGACCTTCTAGACTCGTTCCCATACTTATACCTTAACAAATTGACCATACTACACAAGAGTATCTTTCCTCTCCCCCGAACTTATTCACTTTTCAAGCTGTTTCATTTTTTTTTCTTTCGGCACATATAACAAGGTTCTAAGACGCGAGTATTGATGGTGATTGCCACCGAATCCCCGGTTTGTCCCCTCATTATATATCAAAGGTGTAGGCGAATAATGGGGTCACAGGAAATTTTCCTACCCCTCGCTTCCATCTCTTGTGTGATCATTCCACTTTAGAAGTAAAATAATGGGATCCTTGGAAATTTCCCTAACCCCTTACTTCTAAAAGAAAATCATTTCAATCTTTTCTGCATTTTAATATTTTTTTTAGAAACAGCCTGAAGCAATGCTTAGAACATGAGAGAGGGATACCAAATCTATCACAGAGGTCTTTATTTGTCAGGTAAGAATGAGGAGTCAAGCCCTATGAGCACTAACCTGATCCATGAGGGAAAATGAAGAGCTGAGAAATTAGCTCAGGTTCAATGGACTAGTCAAGAATTTTGGGCTCCTCTAGTCTACTGCTTTGTCTTTGGATTTTCCATTAGTCTATCTAGATGATTCTGCAGCAATGATCACTGAAAGAAAACGGTCAAGATTCACAAATGGTCTGAAATCATCATAGAATTGGTCATTATTCCCACAAGTATTGACTTGTCTCATATAACCAAATGACTCAAAGAAACAAAGTGACTCAAAGAAAGTACTAAGAGAAAGAAATCAAAAGAAAAAAGTACAAGAGACACGACCCTCCCCCGGACTTACTTCACACCGTCCCCGGTGTGAAAATAAGCTAGAGAAGTGCCCAGAAAACTTACCTGGTTCGCACATGTAGAGAACCCTGGTGGAGCAGGTGCTCCGGAACAGAGCTGGGTGCTCCCTCGTCTTTTGTTCGTCTAGAGCAGGTGCTGGAGCAGGTGCTCCAGTTTCCCTTGGGTTGCTCCTTCGTCAATTTTTCGTCTGGAGCATCCTGTGGAGCAGGTGCCCCAACAGAGGTGGGGGTGCTCCTTCGTCATTTTTTTACGCTGTGAGCATCCAACCCAGCAGATGGAGCGGGTGCTACGGTTGGTTGCTCCTCTTTCTTCTTCTTGACATCCTTTCTTTCACGATGAAATCCTCCTACCTGTTTTTTTTGTTTTTTTTGTTTTTTTTTGGTCTTTTTTTTGGAAAACAAAGAACCTAAAAACAAAGTTAGTAGCTAAGAATTGAAAGACACCAAAGTAGAGACTCTTACCGGTGGGTTGCCTCCCACCAAGCGCTTGTTTTAAGTCATTAGCTTGACTTGGAAAGCTATTTAGGCTTGAGGAGGATCGCTTAAGGTGACTGATTCACCCTCTGCGATATTTGGACCAGCAAGGTATGGTTTCAACCTCTGTCCATTGACAACAAACTCGGCTCCTTTAGTGTCCAGCAACACTACAACTCCATATGGTCGAACCTCCTTGATGGTGAATGGTCCATATCATCTCGATCGCAGCTTGCCTGGAAACAATTTCAATATAGAGTTAAAGAGCAATACCTGATCGTTTGGTGCAAAGCTTCTGTTGAGGATCCTCTTGTCATGGAAAGCATTTTCCTCTCTTTGTAAATCTTCGAGTTTTCATAGGCCAGGTGCCTAATTTCCTCCAGCTCATGCAACTGCATTACTCTCCTCTCCTGAGCACTCTTTGCATCGAAATTCAGCAGCTTCACTGCCCAAGCAGCTTTGTACTCAAGCTCCACTGGAAGATGACATGCTTTTCCATACACCAAGTGGAATGGTGTAGTCCCCAAAGGTGTTTTGTAAGCTGTTCTGTATGGCCAAAGAGCATCATCAAGCTTCACTGCCCAATCCTTCCTTGTGGTGCTCACAGTCTTCTGCAGAATGTTCTTCATTTCCCTGCTGGAAACATCAACTTGCCCACTTGTCTGAGGATGGTATGGGGTCGCCACCTTATGCCTTACACCATTCTTCTTCAACAAGTTTTCAAAGACTTTGTTGATGAAGTGAGAGCCTCCATCGCTAATCACCACTCGCGGCACACCAAACCTGGGAAAAATGACAGATTTGAACATCTTTAAAACCACCTTTGCATCATTTGTGGGACTAGCCGGAGCTTCCACCCACTTTGACACATAGTCAACTGCCACCAGAATATACTCATTCCCATAAGATGATGGAAAAGGTCCCATGAAGTCTATACCCCACACATCGAAAATCTCCACTTCCAAGATGAAATTCTGAGGCATCTCATTCCTCCTGTTAATGTTTCCTTGTCTCTGACATGTGTCACACCTAGATATGAATCTTTGCGCATCTCGGAACATAGTAGGCCACCAATACCCAGCCTGCAGAATCTTTGACACTGTTTTAAAAGTAGCAAAGTGACCAGCATAAGGTGAACCATGGCAATGAAACAAGACCCCAGGTATCTCCTCATCAGCTACACATCTCCTGAAAATCCCATCAGAGCAATGCCTGTATAAGTAAGGCTCATCCCAAAAGTAGTGCCTCACTTCCTTCAGAAACTTCTTCTTCTTGTTTCCCACGAAATCTGCAGGTTCCTGCTCTCCAGCAAGGTAATTTGCAATCTCTCCAAACCATGGAAAACCAGAATGCCGATCTACATCAACTGAGTTGCAAAAACTCGTCACAGCAGGTGCTCCAGGTTGGAGCAGGTGCTCGTCGAACCCAGAAACATCTATGGCGTAAACTTGTTCATCAGGAAGGCTATCATCTAGTGGAATGTCATCATCAATCTTCAGCCTCGACAAGTGGTCTGCAACACCATTATCAATCCCTTTTTTGTCTTTGATCTCCAAATCAAACTCCTGCAGCAAGAGGATCCATCTAAGGAGCGTTGGCTTGGCATCTTTCTTCGTCAACAGATATTTCAGCGCTGCATGGTCTGTGTGAACAACAACTATCGACCCAACAAGGTAAGACCTGAACTTCTCAAAGGCATAAACCACTGCAAGAAGCTCCTTTTCACTTGTGGCATATCTGCACTGAGCTTCGTCAAGTGTTCGGCTGGCATAATAGATGACATGGAGCCTCTTTTCTTTCCTATGTCCCAGCACTGCTCCCACTGCATAATCACTAGCATCGATCATGACCTCAAAAGGCAGTTCCCAATCTGGTGGCTGGACAATAGGAGCGCGGACCAAAGCTCCTTTTATCGTGTGGAATGCCTCCAAGCATGCATCATCAAACTCAAATTTCACATCCTTGCACAGTAGCTGCGTCAGAGGTCTAGCAATCTTTGAAAAATATTTGATGAAGCGTCTGTAAAAACCAGCATGACCCAGAAAACTGCGAACGCCTTTGACTGTTGTTGGTGGCTGCAAACTCATCATCACCTCGATCTTTGCCCTGTCCACCTCGATCCCTTTCTCTGAGATTTTGTGTCCCAGTACAATCCCATCTCTCACCATGAAATGGCATTTCTCCCAGTTAAGCACCAGATGCTTCTCCTCACACCGCTGCAAGACCCTGCACAAATTAGACAAACAGACAGAAAAGGAGCTTCCATGGACAGAAAAATCGTCCATGAAAACTTCCATTATGTCTTCAATCATGTCAGTAAAAATCGACATCATGCAGCGTTGGAATGTTGCTGGAGCATTACACAAGCCAAATGGCATTCTGCGATACGCAAAGGTGCCATAAAGACATGTGAATGTCGTCTTCTCCTGGTCGTCCGGGTGGATTGGGATCTGAAAGAAACCTGAATAACCATCTAAGAAACAGTAGTAAGGATGGTTAGCTAAGCGCTCAAGCATCAGATCGATAAATGGTAAAGGAAAATGATCTTTGCGAGTTGCAGCATTCAATTTCCTGTAATCTATGCACATTCATGCCCAGTAACAGTTCTTGTTGGTATCAATTCATTCCTATCGTTTTTTATAACAGTGATGCCACCTTTCTTAGGAACTACATGAACCGGACTAACCCAATTACTATCTGAAATCGCATAGATCACACCAGCTTCTAGAAGTTTCATTATCTCTTTCTTAACAACATCTTGTAGATTCGGGTTTAACCTCCTCTGATGTTCTACAGAAGTCATCGATTCATCTTCTAGATGTATTCTATGCATGCAAAGATCTGGAGAAATCCCTGGAATGTCATCTAGTGAATATCCTAGAGCTTTCCTATACTTTCTGAGTTCACAAAGAAGCAAGGCAATCTCTACATTGTTCAATTCAGAGTTTGTCTAATTGGATCCTAGAAACGCGTAGCTGAGCCCCACAGGAAGGGGTTTGAGCTCAAGCTTCGGAGCTCTCAATTCGCTCTAAGGTCCATCAATCAAGCCGTCGGGAGCAGGTGCTCCAGGATTCGAAGCAGGTGCTCTGTCGGCTTTTTCTGCAGGTGAGCTCTCCTTGCCTTCTAAGCTCATGTACGCCACCAGCCTTTGCATCCTCGTTCTTGCATTCAGCATCCTTGCAAATCCATCAGCTTCCTCACTAAAATACCCATGTTCTCCTTCGGCTTTTGTGAGTGCAACTTCCAAAGGATCAATGGCTAAAACCTCTTCAGCAACCTCTTCAGCAATGCCTGAACCATCATTTATGACAAATGTCTGTCCGTCCAGCATTGGTTTCTTGAGGAGTTTATTCATCTCAAATCGCACCACCATATCTCCCAGCTGGAGATCTATCACTCCTCCTTTCACATCTATGATTGCACCACCTGTGCATAAGAAGGATCGACCGAATATCAAAGGATCCTTGGGTTCTTCATCAACCTCCAGAACCACAAAATCTGCTGGAATGAGTGTATCGCCTATCTGAACATCCAGATCCTCAAGTATACCAACAGGGAATTTGGTTGATCTATCAGCGAACACCAGCGAGATTTTCGTCGCTTTGAATCTGGTGTAACCCAATCGCTTGGCTACAGAATAAGGCATCAGATTCACACTTGAACCCAGATCGCAGAGAGACCTTGCAAACAGCACATTGCCAATCCTCACTGAGAGAACAAATCTTCCTGGATCACTTCTCTTCTTCAGCACTTTGTTCTGAAGAACAGCACTGCACTCCTTCGAAACCATCATGACACTCTCTTCCTCAACAGCTTTCCCAGACACTAACCCCTTCATGTATCTTTTAAGGGCTGGTATCATCTGAACAGCATCAGCTAGAGGGAGTTTCACTGTCAAATCCTTCAGCATCTCCCTGCACTTTGCCTCCTCTAAGTCCTTGCGGGACTTCTTTGGTGGAACTGGATAAGGTACCTTAGGCATGTAAACTCTTGCAGGAATGTTTGCTGGAGTAGGTGGCTGGAGCAGGTGCTCCGTCGTTGGCTCAGGGTGCTCCATCGTCAATTCTACGTCTGGAGCAGGTGCTCCCGATTTTCTCCTTCGTCTTTTTTACGTCATGAGCTGGTTCCTCTTCTTGGAGCAGGTGCTCCACGTCCTTTTCCTTCCTTTTTTCTGAGACAGAACTTGTTGATGCAGCATGCAGAGTCTTCCCACTTCTCAGCGCAATAGCATTCACAAACTCATTCCTGGGGTTTTCACCTTTTCCAGGAAGAGTTCCAGGTGATCTCTTTACAGCTTCTGCAGTCTGATCTACCTTAACATCCAGCTTCTTCACATGAGTCCACACAGCTTCATACTTGCCATTCAAATCATTGTACATGGTGTCCACTTTGGCATTAATCTCCATGAAGATTTTTGCTGATTAACAAGCAGCTGTTACATCAAGTTTTTTCAGATCATCCTGCGAGTTATTTGAGGAACTTGAAGAAGGCTGTAGACTTGTGAAAGTCAACTTCTGCTGACTTTCACCTTGAAACCGATTCTGATTGGTGATGAACTGTTTTCCTTGGAAGTTGCTGGAGAAGTTCTTCTGAAATCCTGACTGATTCTGCACTCCTTGTTGTGGATAGACCTGATCCTGAGGGTTCTCAACATTGTTGCTCTTGTAGGACAAATTCGGGTGGTTTCTGAAGTTGTTGAAGCTGCGATTCTGCACATACCCTTGTCCATTCACAAAGTTCACCTCCATCTGATCATCATTCTCTGCATCTACAAACTCTTGAGCAAGAGGTGCATCACTAACCTCATCAGCAAAATGCACAGATCTCTTGTTCTCTCTCAACAGCAGATTCACCTTTGCTGTAAGCTCATCAATCTTGCTCAACTCCACACTATGAACTGCTTTGCTAGACCTGTCATACTCTTGGGATTTGTTGTTGGAGCTTGCAGCTAAGTTCTCAATCAACTCATAAGCAGCTTCTTTGGACTTAGTCATGAAATCGCCATTGCTAGCTGCATTCAAAGCATTCCTGTAATCCCAGTTGACACCATCATAAAAGGTTGACAGAATCTGCTCATCAGAGAACCCATGGTGAGGCCACTCTCTTCGGTACTCCTTGTACCTTTCCCAAGCTTCGCAGAAAGCTTCACCAGGTTGCTGTTTAAATGACGAGATCTTGTTCGTCAGAGCTGCAGTTTTGGCCTTAGTGTAGAAATGGTCCAAAAATGCTGATCTGCACTCTTCCCATGTAGTCAATGACCCAGGTGGTAATGACTTCAGCCAGCGCAAAGCTTTGTCCGCAAGTGAGAATGGAAAAAGCTTGCACTTCAAAAAATCAGCTGGTATCCCATTTGATCCAGTCGTGCTGAAAATCTCCTCAAAATTCTCGATGTGGTCCATCAGAATCTCAGCAGGAAGCCCATGAAAGAGATGCTTCTTCACCAATGAGATCAGCTGAGATTTGATCTCAAAGTCTTGCCTCTGAATGGTTGGAGGAGCAATCGCAGCCCTGTTTTGATAGTAAGCATGCAGGCTGTCCTTGTCTCCAATAGCAGGCTGTGGCTGCTCCCTGTCTTGCTGCGCCTTTTGCAGCTGCTCCAATTGCTGTCGGAGCTGTTGCAGCTCGACAGCCATGTTGTCATTGTTGCCTTGATTGCCCATGTTGGCTTGAATAGGCCTTTGACGTCTGTTTTCTCTCTCAACTCTTGCTAGCTCGGTGTTCGACAAAGAAACAAGATCAGTGCAGTTGCTCCTTGTGGATATGTTTGACATACACTTGAAACACACGCAAACAAGAGAACAAGAGAAAAAATTAGGTTAGTCTTAGTCTGAATTTCAAACCAAAAATCAAAGGTAACGAATTGGTCCCCGGCAACGGCGCCAAAATTTGATTCACACTGGATCAACTCCTAGTTTCTACTGCAATAGAACAGTGATGTAGTTGTAATATAAAGGATTCGGAATCCAGAGGACCAGTGTTACTCTATGACTTTGCGAGGATTGAATTAAAGCTAAGACGAAAGATGGTTTGTTTGTAACGTTAACGACAAGTAAAAACAAGCTAAAAAAGATTTCAAATCAAATTTAGAACTAGCACTAGATCAAGGTAATTCGCAGGAGTTTCAGAGATGAGAATCAAATGACTATTCAGGGCACAACTTAAATGCAGGTCTCGAACTCAAACATAAAAGCTTATCGATCCACTGTCGTGATCTCGATAACTTTATCTAACAACCTAAATTCTAAATTGTCGTTTGAACCTAGAAAATGGCAGACAAGAATTAACGAGCAGGTTTGATATGTTCACGATTTGCCTTAACTTCAACTGTCGTTGGCTTAGGACAAATCGCTCACTAGTGTTTGTTCTAGAAACCTATTACTCTTTTGATGAATAGATTAACCTGTGAATGTAAATTGAATGGCCAGTTCAACCTAAGTGTTAAGTCTAACAAAGGTGAAGACAATCGATTTTAAACCCTATTTGCAATCAATTCTCTAACTCATGAAATCCTTTGAAAACCTTAATCTAGCTAAGAGATCTACTCAGATATGGAGGAAAGAAACACAGCAACAGATGGAAAGGAATTCATGAATTAAAATCGCAGAAGAGATAATAGGGTTCAGAATTCTTCTTAAAGTGTAGCAGATTTCTTCTCCCAAAAGCTTACAAGTAAAAACTCTCTGGTTCAGAAAATTGTAAAAAGAAAGCATGTAAAGTCTGTAGAAAAACGTGATAATAAAAGGTAGGCGGCTCTGGACTTTTTATTCTCTATCTCCTCCTAAAATTAGGTAAAAGTCGATTTCCTTATTTCTCTCCAAGCGGTTGGAGCAGATGCTCTACGAAAGGGTAAAATCGGGAGCAGGTGGTCCCGACCAAGAATGATCCAACTTCGTGTAAATTGGCCTCTTTTCCTCAGCTTCAGCTCCTTTTGCACCAAAAACCCCAGCTGCTCCAAACCGTCGCCATAAGCCTCCTAGTTACCTGAAACGACTTGACAGACTCAAAAGACTCTAAAAAGATCAGTAAACACAAGTTATAATGAGTCAAAATCTCCACTTATCACTAGGTGACTACTCAGACATGGCTTATTGAAGACAGTATGGCGATGAAAAGCTTCTACAGATGCATAAAAATAAAACTTATAACTATGATTGAGTTCTCTCTCAAAGAGTAGAAAGAGGCCCCCTTACAAAAGACCTAAAAATGAGTATTTATAGTGTTTCTCCAAGTCTTGGGCGTCTAGGTCTTGTAAAATGGGTGCAGGAAGTGTCTTGGGCCTAAGTTGGGCTCCTGAGGTTCGGACATAGGTCCACCAGGGGTGAAACCTCCTGAGCCGCGGTGGGAAGAAGGCTGGCCGCGGGTGAAAGCATCTGTGCTTGACTGCGCTTGTGTTGATCAGCCTTCAGTTCATTGATGATATCTTAAGATCTAACCGTTGGATAGGTTTGATTCCAAGTGTGTTGGAAAGCTGGTTGTCTCCTTTATAATGTCTCCAAATCTGGGGATGATCAGACAGTGAGAAGGTCTTCTTTGGTTGCCAAACTTCTGACGGCCTGAATTTATCCAAAATTGTACTTTCGCTCCAAAATGCACTCCAAAGTCCCAACTTTCCTGAAAAGCCTTTTAAAACTCCAAAACATGGAAAACACTTATAAAACCTTTAAAACTGAGTAAAAAAACCTGCATAAGATATTGAAAGTGATCCATAAAAGTGATCAAAATCAGGTGTTATCAGTAGACTAAGCCAATCTAGATGGTTTAAGACGTGGGGAGCTGTTCAAAAAGCTATATGAAACGGCGAGAACCAACATAGAAAAGAAGACCGAGGTCTACTAGAAGGCCGCTGACAAAGGCCGAAAAGACGTCTCATTTGAGCTAGGAGATTGGGTCTGGTTACACATGAGAACAGAGAGATTTCCAGGTCGGCATGCATCCAAACTTTCACCGCGAGGCGATGGCCCATTCGGCCTTTATTTACCCAGTGTGACCGCCGGTGCTGGTCAGAATGCTTTTAAGCCAGGATTACACCGAGTTTGATCTCCCAGGTGCCGATCCAGGTGTTGTGCTGAACGGTCTGGGGAGTTTCTACACCGGCCATCATATCCCCGGTGTTGTCCCCGGTGCTAAACCTAGACTCCTCAAGGATATGCACACAAGGCTCAAGCATCCCGAGGTGCTTCCCGGTGTAAAACCTTCACGTTTTGGGGTTAAGTCTCCACCGAGGTTCATTTGCCCAATGCTGTCCCTTGTGTTAAACTTTCCTAAAGAAACATTTCCTACACCGAGGTGCATATGGTCGATGCTGAGCTTGATGTGCCCCAGACCGGATTTAACTTGGTGCAGCATGTCTTTTTCTTCCCTTTGGCACCATTCCTTGGTCTTTAGACAACTCCTGAACACTTATAGACCTGAACACACTCAACAAACACATCAAAAACATCCTAAAAACATAAAAAGAAAGAAAAAAATATTAAAAAGAAGTATGTACAAGGAAAAGTTTGGGGTGTCTCCCAAGTGCACTTTGTTTAATGTCACTAACTTTGACTTTTCATACCCATTACTGGGTTTGGGGATCATCAAGAGAGATTGTGGTAGCTCTCTCTTTGATTTCACTTGCCAAATAGTGCTTGAGTCTTTGTCCATTCACCACAAGGCTGTTACCATTCTTTCGCTCAAGTTCAATGGTTCCATAGCTCCTCACTTGCAAGATCTTGAAGGTACCAGACAACCTTGACATTAACTTGCCTGGGAACAGCTTGAGCCTTGAGTTAAACAGCAACACAAGGTGTCCTTCTTTGAACTCCCTCTTTATGATCTTCTTGTCATGCAAAGTTTTGGTCGTCTCTTTGTAGATCTTTGAGCTATCATAAGGATTCAACCTGATCTCCTCTAGCTCATGGAGCTGTAAAAGCCTCTTTTCTTGAGCTGTCTTGCTGTCAAAGTTGAGAAACTTGACAGTCCAAAGAGTCTTATACTCCAACTCAACAGGTACGTGGCAGCTTTTCCCAAGCGTTTTCTGCTCGTTCTTACTGCCTACTTCTCTAAATGGGTCGAGGCCGACTCCTACGCAAGCATAACGGAAGCCCAGGTCGAACACTTACCAAGTGTGACCCCCTGTGCTGGTCAGAATGCTTTTAAGCCAGGATTACACCGAGTTTGATCTCCCAGGTGCCGATCCAGGTGTTGTGCTGCACGGTCTGGGGAGTTTCTACACCGGCAATCATATCCCCGGTGTTGTCCCCGGTGCTAAACCTAGACTCCTCAAGGATATGCACACAAGGCTCAAGCATCCCGAGGTGCTTCCCGGTGTAAAACCTTCACGTTTTGGGGTTAAGTCTCCACCGAGGTTCATTTGCCCAATGCTGTCCCTTGTGTTAAACTTTCCTAAAGAAACATTTCCCACACCGAGGTGCATATGGTCGATGCTGAGCTTGATGTGCCCCAGACCGAATTTAACTTGGTGCAGCATGTCTTTTCCTTCCATTTGGCACCATTCCTTGGTCTTTAGACAACTCCTGAACACTTATAGACCTGAACACACTCAACAAACACATCAAAAACATCCTAAAAACATAAAAAGAAAGAAAAAAATATTAAAAAGAAGTATGTACAAGGATAAGTTTGGGGTGTCTCCCAAGAGCACTTTGTTTAATGTCACTAACTTTGACTTTTCATACCCATTACTGGGTTTGGGTATCATCAAGAGAGATTGTGGTAGCTCTCTCTTTGATTTAACTTGCCAAATAGTGTTTGAGTGATATATTCATAAATTGCATCATTTAATGTACATATTCTAGTCCAAATCATGTCTCATTTGCATGCATTTTAGGTCTTTAGGCATTGTTTTAGGACTTAGGAGATTACATTAGGTCCAAGAGAGTTTTGCAAGTTTTGGAGTTTTAAACAGGTGCTTTTGGAGCCAATTTGGAGTGGAGGATGTGATTCAGATGAAGAAATGGAGTTGGAATGATCAAAAATGGTGAAAAGGAGCAATTTTGGGTTTCTCGGCAAAATGCTGTACTGAAGGTCGAAGATCCTCGGCCAAAAATCCTTCCCGCGGGTAGCTTTCTCGGCCAAAAACACGTGCCGCGGTTATGTTTCTCGGCCAAAAATCTCGAGTGCAGATACATCTCGGAAATCACGTTACCGGAAGGTTTTGCCGGCCGATTCAGCTGTCGGAGTCTTTATAAACGTTGGAGATAATTGAGTCAAGAGTTCAGAACAGTTGGAATCAAAGCGTTTGGACCACGGATCTGAAAGATATGATAATCGGAAGACAGACCTCTCTCGCATCTATTCCGGAGCAATCCGATACTCCTGAATGATCGCCTGTCCGGGGAACATTCCGGTCCGATTCAGTTGTCGGAGGCTTCATCAAAGATGGAGACAATCGGATCATGGTTATATAGCAAGTGGAATAATGGAATTCGGATGCGTGAGCAGAAAGTTGAGCTCGTCGGAAGAAACCCCTGTCTCGCTGCCGTCTTGGACCGACCCGATGAGCTCCTAAGAATGCGAAGGACGGCGCACTTCCAGGCCGATTCAATTTACGATGGTTCCAGAACGTCCAAGATCATTCAATTCGGATCTATGAGCAAGAAGTTAACGTTTCCGGAATGGACACATGTCTAGACGCCTCTCTCTGATCGTGTAAACGCACTGCGAAGATGAGCCCTCCAGGAAGCCTTCCACTTCCCAAGCGCCGATAGTTTCTTCACCAAAGATTGAGCTGAATGAGTTATCTTTCTCATGGAACTGGTTTTAGGACATTTGGAGTTATGAGCTGAAAGTTACACTGAACAGAAGAGAAGCTGGTCAATTCGGGTTTTAAGAGATGCGACTGTAAGCTAAGTGTTGTGTCCTACCTCGGCGTGAATACCTCGGCATGTATGCCGAGGAGGCATGTTTACGAAGCCTTGGGACTATACCTCGAGGTAGGACTTCGGTCTTTCAACACCAAGGCTCCCTTGATCACCAAAATGATCCCAAAACGACTAAGTGTTGAAGCAGACCTTGGTGTGAACCCTTCAGCATGCTATGCCGAGCTCCTATGTTACACAAACCTCGGGTACCAGGCCCCACGGCATGTATTCCGAGGTCCTCATCTCTCCAACCCAGATTACAAACAAATCCTCTTCACGTTTCAAAGCTTTAACCGGATCAAAGGCCAAGTCTCATGCATGTTCTTCAAGTGTTCATCAAAGTTTCAACCCAGCACATGACCCCCTGGTGTATGGCCCTCGCTGTGAGACTTCTTTAGATGGCGAGGGGTGGCTCCAGCAACCCAGAAAGGGCGGGTCAGTACCCAGTTTGTCCTGGGCTGACCCGGCCCACACCCTTTTATATAAATAGTTTTTAGAGACTAAAACCCTAGTTATCCATTATCTTATCCTTTATCTTAGTTTCTCTTTGGTTTCTCTTTCCTTATCTGTGTAAAACCGACGTGATTAAGAGATATCTAAGAGATTTCATTATCTTAAAGCTGTTTCTTATCATTTCATCATCTGATCTCAACTTCTAATCATGATTAACATCACCTCTTGCAAAGGAAATGGTGTGTTAATCATGATTAGTGAGTAGTTATTTTTTAAGCTTCTAGGTGTGTAGATTAGGGTGCTTAGATGATCGGTTTATGATGTTTAGGTTCTAGATCTTCATTTCCTTTCCTTAGTTAGCTGCTCTTAATGCTAGATCTTTGCACATCACTCTGATCTAGACTTTAGTCATTTCTCCACCCACAAGGTGTTTGATGAAATGTCTGAATGAGCTAAGCTAAGGGTTTATGCCTTTTTCATCATGGGAATGATTTGTTAAATGCATGAATGACATATTAGAACTGTTTCTTAATGCTCACTGATTCATATTTCACAAATGATGATTTGGTTGGAAAGTGGATTAGTGTAGAGATTAGTGCCTTCATGAGAGGATTAGTCTAGATTTGAGTTCTAAGTTAATTGGTTTTGAGATCATATGATTGCTTGTTGCTGCTTTCTGTATAAGATTCGGTCTCTTTGAAATAGAAACCGTTTGGTCATTATTAGACTTGATACTTTATGCTTGTTGATTGCTAGATCTTGCTTAAGGTGAATTAATCTTGATTAAGTGATTTACAAAGAGATTATTGTCATGGGAATGAATTAATCTGCTTTTGAAGTCTAGACTAAAGAGTAACTTGCATTGCATTATTGTTCTTAGCATCATGAATAAATCTCTAAAGCACCCTAATCAATGATCACATCTAGAGGTTTAGCTTTCTCTTTATTTTGAATTTGAGTCTTGATTTGTTGTCTTGTTGCTTGTTCTTGAATTACTGTTTGTTTTTGTTTGTTTTATGTTTTAGATCACCTTGTTACCAACTCATTTGCTTGTTAGACTTGAACTAAGATAGCTCCTCATAGTTCTAGTGTCTAGAATCTCTCCATTTGGATTGATACCTCAAGTGCTACAATGACATGAGTAGTTGAGGAATTGATCAAGGATTGAAAAATTCCTGCTATCATTGAGCCTTTGTCCATTCACCACAAGGCTGTTACCATTCTTTCCCTCAAGTTCAATGGTTCCATAGCTCCTCACTTGCAAGTTCTTGAAGGTACCAGACAACCTTGACATTAACTTGCATGGGAACAGCTTGAGCCTTGAGTTAAACAGCAACACAAGGTCTCCTTCTTTGAACTCCATCTTCATGATCTTCTTGTCATGCAAAGTTTTGGTCGTCTCTTTGTAGATCTTTGAGCTCTCATAAGCATTCAACCTGATCTCCTCTAGCTCATGGAGCTGTAAAAGCCTCTTTTCTTGAGCTGTCTTGCTGTCAAAGTTGAGAAACTTGACAGTCCAAAGAGCCTTATACTCCAACTCAACAGGTACGTGGCAGCTTTTCCCAAGCATTATCTGCTCGTTCTTACTGCTTACTTCTCAAAATGGGTCGAGGCCGACTCCTACGCAAGCATAACGGAAGCCCAGGTCGAACACTTACCTAGTGTGACCCCCGGTGCTGGTCAGAATGCTTTTATGCCAGGATTACACCGAGTTTGATCTCCTAGGTGCCGATCCAGGTGTTGTGCTGTGCGGTCTGGGGAGTTTCTACACCGGCCATCATATCCCCGGTGTTGTCCCCGGTGCTAAACCTAGACGCCTCAAGGATATGCACACAAGGCTCAAGCATCCCGAGGTGCTTCCCGGTGTAAAACCTTCACGTTTTGGGGTTAAGTCTCCACCGAGGTTCATTTGCCCAATGCTGTCCCTTGTGTTAAACTTTCCTAAAGAAACATTTCCCACACCGAGGTGCATATGGTCGATGCTGAGCTTGATGTGCCCCAGACCGAATTTAACTTGGTGCAGCATGTCTTTTCCTTCCCTTTGGCACCATTCCTTGGTCTTTAGACAACTCCTGAACACTTATAGACCTGAACACACTCAACAAACACATCAAAAACATCCTAAAAACATAAAAAGAAAGAAAAAAATATTAAAAAGAAGTATGCACAAGGATAAGTTTGGGGTGTCTCCCAAGAGCACTTTGTTTAATGTCACTAACTTTGACTTTTCATACCCATTACTGGGTTTGGGTATCATCAAGAGAGATTGTGGTAGCTCTCTCTTTGATTTCACTTGCCAAATAGTGTTTGAGCCTTTGTCCATTCACCACAAGGCTGTTACCATTCTTTCCCTCAAGTTCAATGGTTCCATAGCTCCTCACTTGCAAGTTCTTGAAGGTACCAGACAACCTTGACATTAACTTGCATGGGAACAGCTTGAGCCTTGAGTTAAACAGCAACACAAGGTCTCCTTCTTTGAACTCCCTCTTCATGACCTTCTTGTCATGCAAAGTTTTGGTCGTCTCTTTGTAGATCTTTGAGCTCTCATAAGCATTCAACCTGATCTCCTCTAGCTCATGGAGCTGTAAAAGCCTCTTTTCTTGAGCTGTCTTGCTGTCAAAGTTGAGAAACTTGACAGTCCAAAGAGCCTTATACTCCAACTCAACAGGTACGTGGCAGCTTTTCCCAAGCATTATCTGCTCGTTCTTACTGCTTACTTCTCAAAATGGGTCGAGGCCGACTCCTACGCAAGCATAACGGAAGCCCAGGTCGAACACTTACCTAGTGTGACCCCCGGTGCTGGTCAGAATGCTTTTATGCCAGGATTACACCGAGTTTGATCTCCTAGGTGCCGATCCAGGTGTTGTGCTGCGCGGTCTGGGGAGTTTCTACACCGGCCATCATATCCCCGGTGTTGTCCCCGGTGCTAAACCTAGACGCCTCAAGGATATGCACACAAGGCTCAAGCATCCCGAGGTGCTTCCCGGTGTAAAACCTTCACGTTTTGGGGTTAAGTCTCCACCGAGGTTCATTTGCCCAATGCTGTCCCTTGTGTTAAACTTTCCTAAAGAAACATTTCCCACACCGAGGTGCATATGGTCGATGCTGAGCTTGATGTGCCCCAGACCGAATTTAACTTGGTGCAGCATGTCTTTTCCTTCCCTTTGGCACCATTCCTTGGTCTTTAGACAACTCCTGAACACTTATAGACCTGAACACACTCAACAAACACATCAAAAACATCCTAAAAACATAAAAAGAAAGAAAAAAATATTAAAAAGAAGTATGCACAAGGATAAGTTTGGGGTGTCTCCCAAGAGCACTTTGTTTAATATCACTAACTTTGACTTTTCATACCCATTACTGGGTTTGGGTATCATCAAGAGAGATTGTGGTAGCTCTCTCTTTGATTTCACTTGCCAAATAGTGTTTGAGCCTTTGTCCATTCACCACAAGGCTGTTACCATTCTTTCCCTCAAGTTCAATGGTTCCATAGCTCCTCACTTGCAAGTTCTTGAAGGTACCAGACAACCTTGACATTAACTTGCATGGGAACAGCTTGAGCCTTGAGTTAAACAGCAACACAAGGTCTCCTTCTTTGAACTCCCTCTTCATGACCTTCTTGTCATGCAAAGTTTTGGTCGTCTCTTTGTAGATCTTTGAGCTCTCATAAGCATTCAACCTGATCTCCTCTAGCTCATGGAGCTGTAAAAGCCTCTTTTCTTGAGCTGTCTTGCTGTCAAAGTTGAGAAACTTGACAGTCCAAAGAGCCTTATACTCCAACTCAACAGGTACGTGGCAGCTTTTCCCAAGCATTATCTGCTCGTTCTTACTGCTTACTTCTCAAAATGGGTCGAGGCCGACTCCTACGCAAGCATAACGGAAGCCCAGGTCGAACACTTACCTAGTGTGACCCCCGGTGCTGGTCAGAATGATTTTATGCCAGGATTACACCGAGTTTGATCTCCTAGGTGCCGATCCAGGTGTTGTGCTGCACGGTCTGGGGAGTTTCTACACCAGCCATCATATCCCCGGTGTTGTCCCCGGTGCTAAACCTAGACGCCTCAAGGATATGCACACAAGGCTCAAGCATCCCGAGGTGCTTCCCGGTGTAAAACCTTCACGTTTTGGGGTTAAGTCTCCACCGAGGTTCATTTTCCCAATGCTGTCCCTTGTGTTAAACTTTCCTAAAGAAACATTTCCCACACCGAGGTGCATATGGTCGATGCTGAGCTTGATGTGCCCCAGACCGAATTTAACTTGGTGCAACATGTCTTTTCCTTCCCTTTGGCACCATTCCTTGGTCTCTAGACAACTCCTGAACACTTATAGACCTGAACACACTCAACAAACACATCAAAAACATCCTAAAAACATAAAAAGAAAGAAAAAAATATTAAAAAGAAGTATGTACAAGGATAAGTTTGGGGTGTCTCCCAAGAGCACTTTGTTTAATGTCACTAACTTTCACTTTTCATACCCATTACTGGGTTTGGGTATCATCAAGACAGATTGTGGTAGCTCTCTCTTTGATTTCACTTGCCAAATAGTGCTTGAGCCTTTGTTCATTCACCTCAAGGCTGTTACCATTCTTTCCCTCAAGTTCAATGATTCCATAGCTCCTCACTTGCAAGTTCTTGAAGGTACCAGACAACCTTGACATTAACTTGCCTGGGAACAGCTTGAGCCTTTAGTTAAACAGCAACACAAGGTCTCCTTCTTTGAACTCCCTCTTCATGATCTTCTTGTCATGCAAGGTTTTGGTCGTCTCTTTGTAGATCTTTGAGCTCTCATAAGCATTCAACCTGATCTCCTCTAGCTCATGGAGCTGTAAAAGCCTCTTTTCTTGAGCTGTCTTACTGTCAAAGTTGAGAAACTTGACAGTCCAAAGAGCCTTATACTCCAACTCAACAGGTATGTGGCAGCTTTTCCCAAGCGTTTTCTGCTCGTTCTTACTGCCTACTTCTCAAAATGGGTCGAGGCCGACTCCTACGCAAGCATAACGGAAGCCCAGGTCGAACACTTCGTCTGGAAGAACATAATTTGTCGACACAGAGTTCCCTACGAGATTGTCACTGACAATGGATCTCAACTCATCTCAACTCGCTTTGAAGCTTTCTGCGAGAAGTGGAAAATTTGCCTTAGTAATTCCAGGCCGAGGTATCCTCAAGGGAACAGACAGGCTGAAGCAGCTAATAAAACGATCTTAGATGGGTTAAAAATGAGACTAGACGCTAAGAAAGGACGATGGGCAGACGAACTGGAAGAAATCCTTTGGTCAAATCGAACAACTCCACGCCGAGCCAACGAAGAAACCCCATTCGCCCGCGTCTATGGAACAGAATGTGTGATCCCTCCCAAGGAAGATTTCTCTGGAATCCGACAAAGACTTTTGCCCGGACAAGAGGGTTTGAATCACCTGATGATGTTGGACGAGCTCGATTTAGTCAACGAGAGGCGCGACCAAGCCTTAATCCAAGTCCAGAACTATCAACAAGCAACGGCGAGATATTACAACAAAAATGTCTGAAGCCGATGATTTCAAGAAGGGGAGCTCTTCCTTAGAAAGGTATTCCAAAACACTGTCGAGAGGAATGCAGGGAAGCTTGGAGCAAATTGGGAAGGCCCCTACAACATCACGAGAGTGGTTTGTCCATGAGTCTATAAACTCGCAAGGACGACTGACAAAGCAATTCCGAGATCGTGGAACGCCATGCACCTGAAGAAGTATTATCACTAAGGATACACCACGACCAACATGAACTACGGGACGACTTGATCCCTGCAAAGGGTACGTAGGCAGCCCGTCCTCGGACGGATTCTCCTGTCCCTCCTCTTAAAAAGGGGGGGAGTGGGTACATATACATTTATACTTACCCCATTTGTTAAATTTTTAGCTCGTCAAGTCAACTATCTCTAGGTTTATTTTCACTTCGGCTAGTCTTTCATTCACTATTTTCACTTTTGCTAGTCTCTTATTCACTTGTTTTACGTTGGCTAGACTTTCACTTGTCTTACAAATTGCTTTATTGATCTCGCATTGCTTCGGCAAAATTCTTGCTTGTTACCATTTCACTTTGGTATCCAAACACCGAACACCTCATCTCGATGCGGGCCACAACGAGACAACAAACACAAAGTTCTCTAAACAGACTTTTACTACTTTTCCTAGGACGAGGGTGAAAGTTACATCCTCTATGGATAAAATTAAGCGTGCTATACAAATTTCAGACCAAAGCCGTATCGGTTGCCACAGCTCACTATTGCACACGAGATTTTAAGTCGAGACTACATCGCTTTCTCCAAAACCGAAGTGAACTCTTAAAACCTGACCAAACACACTTCTCTCTCGGGAACGCCGATCTATAGTCGTACTCTGACACTATCGGCTTGGACTTTAACCTCGGCAATGAGAAATTCAACTCTAACACCTCGGTAAGCAAAAACCGGCCCAAGTTAAACACCTCGGCAACAAAGCCTAACCCTTCTCATGAACAATCAGTCTATCCGAAGGCCATAATATATGTCCCCTGCTTGAAAAAACGCTTCGGCATTAACCGAAATGAACTCTCAAAACCCGGCCAAACACATTCGATAGCTCGGAAACATTGGTCCTTAGTTGAAAGAAAACAACCAAACCTTATTCTCATCTCGTCGACAGAGAATCCCGGTTAACACCTCGTCATACTTTATTACATATGTCTTAAACGCCTCAATAAAAACAGTCAATATCACATGAATATCAGTCCTCCTCGCAAAAAAGGAAGTAGGATAATCAAGTTGTAGCAACTACAAAATTATCGAAGACCAAAGATGATTCTACGCTCCGGAAAAAGCATACTTACCAGCTCGGACACGTTACACATCAAAACTAAAAAAAAAAATTCGTTTAATCCTTATCTCGTCATTAAAGAATCTTAACCTAAAACAGCTCGTCACTTAGTGACGACGCCTCATCACTATTTCTCGAAACAGCTCGGCAGAAACCGAAAGACCATCCAAACACGAGATATATAAGTAAAACTATTATAAGATAAGTCTCTCAAGAGTTCAGCAAACAAAAGAAGGTGGATAAAGCCGTCCAGGCACAAGGTTCAGAAACAGAAACAAACAAGCCAATAAGTATGGATAAAGCCATCCAGGCACCAAAAAAAAATATGATTCAGTACATGAGCGAGAACACAAAAACTATCCCTCTCGGTGCGGGTCGGAGACACCCTCAGCTGCGAGATCACTATCCCTCGAGGTGTTGATGTTGGAACCTGTCAGATCCATGACTCCAATCGAAGTAGCAGTAACCTTCAGCGGCTCGTTTCCTAGACGAGGGTCAACAGAATCCGCGGAAACCGGCAAATTGACTAACTTCTCCCTTAGGCTCCAATTAGCTCGGCTTCCCAGCTCTTCAATTTCTCATCTTCGGCGTCGAGACTGGCATCTGGTTTCTGGAGATCGCCGATGCGCACGAGATTTCTCCTGATTTGGCCGAGGTTATTTTCATCTCTTTTTGCCTTCTCCAGCTCTACCATTTTCTTCTCAATCTCAGATAGTCACGCCTGGAACTTAGCCGCAACCTCACGTCTGGCCTCCTTTCGGGCAATCTTTACTTGTGACTCAAGGAGAAAGTCTCTCGCCGTGTTATGCCTCTTCAAGGAAGCAATTTTTCTGTTCTTCCTTACCTGCGATTCCTCATAACGGGTGACCATCTTGTCACAGTTTGCCTTCAAGACTTTTTTCTCTTCCTCGAGTGCATCGATCCGGGCTAACGCTTTTGCCTTCAAAGTCGCGGCGTCACGTCTAGCCTTTTCAAGGTGACGCTCGTCGTTAAGCGCGTCGTGATATATTCATAATTTTCATTACTTAGGATTGCATTTTTGGTCCAAATATTGAGTCTCATGCATACATTTAGGTAGTTTTCAATGCTTTTGTCCTGATAGTTGGTTTAGGATAGGAAATGCATTAGGTCCTATAGAATCTTGCATTTTGGAGTGTTTACAGGTCATTTGGAGCAAAAAGGGAGCATTTGGGACAGATGCCGTGGAGAGACCCTCGTGTGAATGCATCAGAACCGGACAAGTGTATAGAAGCCGACAATCCCTCTACTTCATCACCTGAAACGGAGCACTGGCATTGCGATCCAGCCTTTGATGCCTTCATCAAGATTCAATAGGTATGAGTCTAGTTTCCGGAACGCCTGAGATTGTCCAATTTGTAGCTGTGTGGTGAAAGTTATGGCGATCAGAAGGAACACATGTCTCGCAGCCGCTAAAGGACCAAAACGACGTCTGCTGGACTCGGACCCTTCATCAAAGTTGTAGCTGACGGAGCCATCTGGCTTTTGGAGTTAACATACCGAGTTTCGGACCACTGAGCTAGACTTTATGAAGGTTTTGGTTCAAGCGGCATGCATTCTTATCGACCAGAGTGTACCTCGACAGTTCAGTCAATATTTTCAACCTGGAGCGCCGAAATATTATCGACCAGAATGTCGAGGTGAAGCATGTCGATATATTCTCAGCCAGTCTTGCCGAAATAATGTCGACCAAACTATCGACCAGGTGTTTGGTCGATATTTTTGTTAAGAGAAGCTTTGTGGCCTATCGACCAGAATATTGCCATGGAGCACGTCGATAGGACCTTGTTCCAGTCTGAGTTTTTGAGTCTTTTTGGGCCAATATCCTGCTTGTTAAGGGTTGGCCCATTAAGAAAACCCTTAGTATAAATAGTTTTGAGACATTAATGATGAGGTGAAGATTTATTCCCTTTGTTTTCTTTGCCTCTTTTGTGAAAGACCTAAACTTTGTAAGAGAGATCTTCAT